GTGGAGCTCTCCCAGCGAGATCTGAGCACTGAGCAGGAATCAGGAACCCTGGGTCGGCCCAGTCCTGCCTCTCACTAAGTGGCTCTAGGAAAACCACTTGGCCTTCCTTAAGACTGTATATCTCAGATCGACTTAACAAGAGTTGCAAAATAAGGTTTAAAAAACTGGATGTGAAAGTGCTTTGGAAAACACCCTTGAAAAACCTTTTCTAGCCTTTGTACCATCTTTTACGAATCCCATCCATTCTTCTGTCCTCTTGAACAGCTCCTAGGCAAGTCTGGGTTTTATCACCCTCATTTACACATAAGGCAACTGAGGTCCTGGAAGGTTATGGGCCTTGCCCAGTGTGCCTGCCAGCCAGGGGCTACAGTGAGGCAAGGCATCAGTTTGAAAAGGAGGGTTTTTATCACACTCTTGGCCTACGGATCTGCCATCTACTCAACATCAACTATGTGCCCACACTGTTCTAGGCACTTTGCCGATAATCTCTTATCTGATCCCCCATTAGTACCCCCATTTGCAGGTGAGGCTCTTTAAGTACTATGCCCAAGGTCACACAGCTGTAAGTGGAGGAACCTGAATTCACACCCAGGTCTTGGGGGAATTCCCACGGTTTGCTCCCCATGGTCCTTGCCCTGCTGGATGGAGCCAGCCATGTATGAGGAGGGCACTCTGCCCAGGTTCAGTGACCACTGGAGCTTCCCACCAGCCTGTGGGGTGGCCCTGCTGACGTCAGCGACTCTCTGCTGCCCTCACGTGGCTACTCCAGGCCCCGACATCACCCTTTCTGGCTCCTCCACACCTCCTCTCCCCCATCAGACCTGTCTGCTCTGTCTCCTGGCTCCTCAGGAGCAAGAGCCATCAGGAGGCTTATGTGAAGAGTTAATGAGCATCCTATCTTCCTCACAGGGCTTTAAAAGGCAGAAGCAGTAAGTGGACAGACTTCATGAAGGGTTTCCAGGCTAGGCCCAGGGAAAGGTATTGGGCTGTGGGGCTGAGCACTGAGTTCAGAGGCTGTGCCTCTTCCTCTCCCCTCCTTAATCCCCAGGATCGCTGGTTCTGGCGCCTGCGCAATAACCGGGTGCAGGAGGGTTACCCCATGCAGATTGAGCAGTTCTGGAAGGGCCTACCCGCCCGCATAGACGCAGCCTATGAAAGGGCTGATGGGAGATTCGTCTTCTTCAAAGGTAATGTGCCCTGGGCGAGGGACTTGGGATGATTCCTTACCCTCGTGACCCCCTTTTTTCACCTGTGACATGGGAGAAGTGGGGTGGGAGACAGATGCACTCCAAGGGTCCTTCTAGCCCTAATAGAGACACTGACATCAGACAGAGAAGATCCCTTCAGGCAGGCAATGCACAATCTGGGGAAATCAAGTCAGGGAGTGATTGTTGAGGGTCTGTATGTGCCAAGCCTCAGCCACACGAAGTAGAGGGTTGTACAGGCCATTGAAGATCATCGGTGCTCCATGGAAAGCCACCCTGTCAGTTCTATGAGTCTGGAGGGAGCAGGTCACACAGCCAGGAGCTGGAGAGGGAAGAGGGAGGGGAGCTAACGTGTGCAGCATGCCTTCCCTGGGCCTGCCCTGGGCCCATCCTGTGCTAGGTGGTTTCACTTCAATTATCTTGACCTGGGCCAGGTCCCAGGAGGTAAGATACAGACAGCATTCCAAGGGGGAAGGAACAGCATGGGGAAGGGAGGAGTGTGGGAACGTGCACGAGCCTGGAGCCCCACGTTAGAAAGCTGTCAGAAGTGGCCTGGAATGGTAGTTTGAGGGAGAGGCCTGAGGAGCCTTGTTTTCCAGGCCAGAATTTAATATTGATCCATTACGGCAACGCTGGAAATTCACTGAATGTTTGTGAGCAGCAGAGAGCAATGTTTGTGAGGCCCATAGCAGGGAGGAGCAGGGAGTCCAGAGACAGCTAGAGGAGGAAAGGGGGTCAAAGGTGATGCGGGGGCTTGGGGGACTCTGGGGGCCTGTAAGGTGATGAGGAAGGGAGCCCCCTGTGGTGGAAATGAGGAACTCCAGGAAGCCGACTTGGAAATGCCCCGAGGCTGGGGGGCCATCCAGGTACCTGGGGCTGGTGTCCAGGTCCACTGAGAGTGGCTGTGGGCTACAGCCTCGGAGTTGGGTGTCATTGTGGGGGAGGGGGACAAGTGTGTATGAGTGGCTGAGGTCATCCAGAGGGGAGAAGGGGCAAGTCACATGAACAGAAAGGGTGAAACATGGAGCTTGGGCGGCATGGAGCGAGGTGTCCAGGATCTGTGACTGGCTTCTGGCCTCTTATCCCTACGCTTTGCCTGGGCCAACAGGCCTCAGTCTCCCACTGAGGGGATCAAGCAGGCCTAGGCTGTTTCCCCTCACACTCTGGCTCTATGAATGACCAATCCCAGAGGAAGATGGGCAAATGGCACTAACCGCAATCTCCGGCATTGAGTAACTGGGGAAGGCTGATCCTGGGCTCCTCTTGGCCACAGGTGACAAGTACTGGGTGTTTAAGGAGGTGACGGTGGAGCCTGGGTACCCTCACAGCCTGGGGGAGCTGGGCAGCTGTCTGCCCCGAGAAGGCATTGACACGGCTCTGCGCTGGGAACCCGTGGGCAAGACCTACTTTTTCAAAGGCGAGCAGTACTGGCGCTACAGCGAGGAGCGGCGGGCCACAGACCCTGGCTACCCCAAGCCAATCACCGTGTGGAAGGGCATCCCACAGGCTCCCCAGGGAGCCTTCATCAGCAAGGAAGGATGTACGTAAGGGCCGGCTGGGTGGGAGGGGTCTCAGCAAGGCCCTTGGGCACACTCTTAGCGTATCCAGGTTTGAGAAACACCACCTGGGACCAAAGACAACTGCCTCATATCCATCCATGTTCACACAGTAAAATTGTCTTACCAGCTGTCAAGTCACAGTTTCTCATCTTCAGGGATGATTCTTAATTGAGAGATGTTTTCATAGACTGACTTCATTCCTTCGAACAGCATTCCTCCAGTGTACTCCAGGAGTTCAAGTTATCAAATCTGAAAAGTAGTGATGGATATGGTGGTTCAAAGGTGCTTTTTCACAGGGCTTGAGGGCAGGAAGGTGGAGAGAGAAGTCTTTTTTATTTACAAGACATTTTCTAAGCTCCTCCTGGAGGCCAGGCTAGGAGCTTTGCAAGAGAAGGGGCTGGGTCTTGCCAGGCACAGAGTAGGTATCATAAATGTCTGTTGAATACATCTCCACTGATATGGTCAAAAGCACAGCCTGGATGGTTTCACATCCCATCTCCACCACTTACTATGAGTTTGGGCAAATCACTTTTCTCTCAGTCTCCTCATCTATAAAAAGGAGACAATAATGATACCTACCTCATAGGGTTTTGTAAGGATTAAATAAGATAAATTATGTAGAGCGCTCAGACTAATGCCTGGCACATGGCCCATGTTATATGCTTTAGCTGCTGTCATTATCATGATCATCATCTTGTTGGTGTGTTTATATGGAATGACAGATTCATTCATTCCACAATAATTACTTAGAGCCAGGTTTGGGGGGGGGGGGCTGGAGATGGAGCAGAGAACAAGGCTTGCATTGCATCCTGTCTCCCAGGCTAGAGGCAGAAAAATAAGGTAGCAACAAATGCTATAAGGGAAAGAAAGGCTATGAGAGAGCAGCTATGCAGAGGGCCACATCAGAGAAGGTAGTTGGGAAGGGCTCTGAGAAGACATCATGAGTAAGAAAGCCAGCAGCCCCAGGGACAGAGTAGCTATTTGGCGGCTCTCTTGTGTACCTAATGCTTTACGTGGTCTCGCTTTCTGGGGAGCCTCAGAGACAGATGACATCAAGACTTTGGCCAATGAACATCCCAGCCAGGGTGGGAAACCAGCCAATGAGAGTCTGAGTGTGTTGCTTTGAGTCTATGGACTGGCTGGCTGCTAAGGCTGTTGCTGGGGGCTTTAGGTGGCCCCCCAGTTCTACTGCCTTCTTTCCTTCCAACCCCTCCCCTAGAAGGGTCCCAGAGACCCTGCAATCAGTGTTGCAAAGTGATGTGTGCCAAGCCAAAAAACAAACACTTGATAATTGCTAAGAGGTGGTATCTGCTGTCAACAGGAGAAATCTTGCTCCCTGCCTCCCTTGGCTCAGGCGGGAGCTGGACTGAGGCCCTAGAACTATGCAGACAGTGCTGTCCAAGCCCTAAGTTGGGGCTTGATCTAACCCACATGGGGGTGCCTACGGCACAGTGTGACAGAGCTGTGGCCCCAGGCTGAGAAGGGTTTAGTCTGAGAGTCACAAATTGAATATACCAACTCTGCTTAAAGCTCTTCTATGGCTCCCAGCACTTTTGAGAATACGGGGTGGGCTGCTCCAGGTTCTGGGTGCCTGTCTGCAGCCATGCAGGTGATACTCGATGACCCAGACACACTAATTTGCAGGATGTGCCAAGCACTGCACTCCCCCCACCTCCAAGTGTCCAACACTCTGCTCCCACCACCTCATAAGCCCACCCCCCTTTTAGAGCTCCTCTGGGGCTCCCACAGGGTGGGAGAGGTGCCCCTCCTCCACGCTGCCCCAGCACCTTACACCCTCACACACTGACCCAGAGCAGGTCAGTGTCTGGGAGTGGTGGTGATGCTCGGCTGTGTTTCTGCAGATTACACCTACTTCTACAAGGGCCGGGACTACTGGAAGTTTGACAACCAGAAACTGAGTGTGGAGCCTGGCTACCCACGCAACATCCTGCGTGACTGGATGGGCTGCAACCAGAAGGAGGTGGAACGGCGCAAGGAGCGGCGGCTGCCCCAGGATGATGTGGACATCATGGTGACCATCAACGACATGCCAGGCTCTGTGAACGCGGTGGCTGTGGTCATCCCCTGCATCCTGTCCCTCTGCATCCTGGTGCTGGTCTACACCATCTTCCAGTTCAAGAACAAGGCAGGCCCTCAGCCTGTCACCTACTATAAGCGGCCAGTCCAGGAGTGGGTGTGAGCAGCCCAGAGCCCTCTCTGTCCACTCAGTCTGGCCAACCAGGCCCTTCCTCACCAGGATCTGAGGGGCAGCTGTGGCCACTGCCCACCGGAGCCAGCAGGGCCCTAGGCCAGGGGTCATGTAGTTGAAGTGGTGGGTGCATTGGCCTAGGCTGAATGTGGGGCAGGGAGTGATGGCAGCTGTGCCCCAGGGTGGGTGTCTGGCACCCAGACACCAGCCTTCTGTCCTGGGTAAACTGCTCCCTACTCAAGGAAATAGGCCAGGCCCCATGCCAGGAGGAGGCCCTGTGGTCACTGCATCCTGTGGTGTCCATGAGACCCCACAGCTTGATTCCTGGCTGGACCCAGCACCTTCTGTGGGAAGCCAGCACTAGAGCTCTCAGTCCCATCTGGGGGAAGCCACCAGTCCTGTCCCCCTTTGCCAACACCTGCTGGTCAGATGTCCCCTCACCCCTACCCCACTGTTCTCCAAGGCTACGGGACCCCTGCTGCCAATATGGTGGGCAACAAGATGGGTTTCCCCTGCTGGCATGCAGCAGATCCCTCAGGAAACCTGCTCCGTACATCAGGGTCTCCTCTGAGACCCAGGATTTAGGGTCACATGCTGCAGGCAGGGCTGTGGCCCAGCTGGGTCTCACAAGGACCCAGCTGTCACATCTTGAATATTTAAATGTCCTGTCTCTACTGTTTAGAGTCCCATTCTGCAAAGGCTGCTTGAGGCTTTCGGTGAATTAGAGGTGACTGTCTTGGTGATGAGGCCAGCGTGGCAGGCCCTCCCCTAGGTGATAAGGACCAAGGTGCTGCTAAGGCCACTCTAACGCCCGGACACCCCAGGAGCCAGGCCCTGCTCATGAGGCTAAACCAGTGGGGTGGGGGCTGACCCCAGTTCCGGAGGCTGATCTGAGTTTGTGACCACCCACTTCCCTCTCCCTCCATTCCTCAGTCTCCAGCCCCACTCCAGCGTGTAGCTTGTAGCCTGGGGGATCAGTCTGACTAGTTGGGTGAGGCAGAAATGGGTCCAGGCCAACATTCTCATGGCCTTGGGGTAAGGGACTCAGGGCAGCCTTCTGAAGTGCTCAGAGTCCATATCCCCCAGCTACCCTGAGGCTCAATCTCTCAGCCCAGAACCAGTGTTCATATCATGAGCTTGGCCCTTGCTAACCCAGCTCACTAGGCCCATCTTCCTGCATTGCTCTTTAGAAAAGGGCACCCCCAATGGGTAGTGGCCCCAAGCCTAGGGGCCTGCCCTACACTGTCTCTGGCAGGAATTCCTAGGGCTTAGCTTGCCTCACTCCAACCCAGTGGAGGCAACCCTGCTTGTCACTGAGGAGCCCTAGGCAAGACTAATGGGCTCAGTGATGCTCACTGGCTCTCTGCCAAATCCAAGAAGTAGCATCAGCCTGCAGGGTACTGGCAGGGCTTCAGATGCCACCCTGGCCCTCTGAGCCTACTTGGACCTTGCCCCCACACTGTGGTCTCTGGTCTTTGGGTCTGCTTAACCTGTAGGAGACAGAGACTTCTGCTGCCCTGGGAGCTGTCTCAAGCAAAATCTCTTGTCCCAGAGGCACCTATCTGGGTCCACTGTGTTTCCCGTCACTATCCTTCTGTTTCTTCTCATTTTGGCCAAGGGCGGGCTCCCTGGGGCGGGTGGGGAACAACTGCAGAGATATTAGTGATTCATAGGTTTGTACAGTGTTTTATACTTTGCAAAGCACTTTATTAGCTCACATGTTCACTCACATGAAACTAGTGTAGGCCCTGGGAGGCCAAGGGTAATTCTCACTGTGCCCTCAAATGAAGCACAGAGAGGTTGTTACATGCCCAGACCATCCAGTGGGCTGGCTGGGCCCTGGGTCTCCACCCATGGACCCCTCCAGGGTCCAAGATGAGATCAGAAGTGTCTCTTTTATCCATCTTTTCCTGGCCTCCCTTCTCCCCTTCCTAGTCCCTCTCTACTCCTCAGGTTGGTGCTCTCACTTCTTGAAAGTTCTAGGCCCTCAGGCTCCCCATTGGCTCCTGGTACTACTGAGGTCAGCTGAGAAAGAGCAGGAGATGGAGGCAGGCAGCCCAGGCTGCAGATGTGAGGGATGCAAGGCCAGGCCCAGAGAGGGCTCAGCCTGGAGGCTTCCAATCTCGGATTCTCCTGCCTTGTGGTCATCTGTTTGTCCATCACCCCAGGACAGAGCAGAGAGAGGGGCAAAGCACCAGGGCCCCAGAGCCCAGCTTCCCCTCGGCCTGGGGAACATCACAGCATTTCAGTGTCGGTCACATTTTAAACTGATCAGCCTTTGTATAATGTTTTTTAAATCATTTCTAAATAAAACAAAAATACAGAGCGTGTCACTTCCCTTAGAAGTGGGAAAGAGGATCAGGTTCTGAGGGTAGCCTAAGAAGCTTCTGGAGAAGAGAAACAGAGTACTTTGGGGTGTCCACAAACTGCCTCTTTCATCTCATCTGCCAGCCAAGCAATCAGATGTCCCCTTTCTCCAAATGGCTGACTCGAAAGGCCCAGTGTTACTGGGGTCCCAGGAATACAGCCTGATGATGCCTCACTGGAATCCAGGCTGGAGGGGCACCTCCTCTAGGACTACAGGAAGGGTCGCCGGGCGAGGTCTTCTTTGAAGTCGAGGTACAGGGTGCAATGACCGGGAACAAAAGCAGCCCAGTTCTCAGCAATTAGGGACAGATGAACTGTGGTGAGGCCCGCAGCCTTAAGGTCTTACCAAGAGCCCCAGCCTGGTTCTAGAAGTCCGCGCAGGGCAGGCTGAACTAGGACCCAGACGGCTGGAGCTGCGGGCGGGGCGAGCACGGAGGCCTGAGGTGTCTGGGTGCAGCGCGGGAAGCCCAAGAGTCTCCGGTGGCCGGAGGGGGCAGAGGCGAGACAGGGCCTCACGGCCCTGCAGTGCAGCAGCTCAGCGCAGACCTCCTTCCTGTCCCCCTCGACCTCCTCGACTCTGCACGTCTCTGGGCGCCGGTGGGGATGGGGCGTTGGTAGGTTAAGGGAGGCACCGGGCCGTGGGGACCGACGACGGCCGGACCAGGCGAGGCGAACAGGGCAGTGACCGGTGAACTGAGGGCGAAGAGTCAGTACCAGGAGGTGCAGGCGATGAGGAAACGAACGTCGTCAAGCGGCCCCCAGGGCCCC